ACCCACTTATCCCTTCATAGCACTGAGATTACAAGGTAGCCTGCTCTGCCCAGCCTTTTACATGGGTGCTGGGGATCTGCACTCGGGTCCCCTGCTTGCAGAGCAGGCACTTCACCAGACCAGCCATCCCCCAGCCCTGCTACTGGCCATCTTTATGTCTTTTGAGAAAGATTTATTCAGGCCCTTTGCCAATTTTTGAATCAGTTTATTCCAGTTTCTGCTGTTGAGTTTTGTGATTAGTTTTTGGATACTAACCCCCTTTCAGATATTTAGTTTGCAAATATTTTCTCTCAATTTATAGACTGCTTTTTCATTTTCAAGTGTTCCTTTGCCTGTCTCCATGAACTTTCACTAGATACTACATTTCCAAATCGAATTTTTCCCAAAAACCGCATGCCAGATTTTCTTCTCTAAATGTGTTTATTGTTGTTTCTTTTTTTCTTTTTTTCTCTTTTTGCTTTAAAGATGCCACTTAAAACAATGGTAAAAGTAAACATAGGTTCCATTTTGAGGCTGGCAATGGAAAATTTACCAAACACAGCAACAAACAGCTTAAATGCTTAAATCTTTAAATGCTTTTAGGGTCAAAAATCCTTATTAGACATGGGAAATACATTTATTTATGAAACATAGTTGTATGTGTACTAATGATCCGTGAAATTCTATGGTTAAGAAGCATGTTAAAACAATAAAACTTTAAATTCAAGTTGACTTTCATCATTTTACATTAGAAAGTAGGTATTCTGGCTGCCTGGTTTTTGCAACTGATCTCAAATTTGTTTTAGTCTCTCAAATCATTAAGCAAGTAAAATATTTTAGTTCACAAATAATAACTATTTACCTTTACAATTTATACCTCACCCCAAATAGCTAAAAATGCTATAGGAAAAAGGAAGAAAAAAAAATCAACAACAACTCTTCTATAGAAAGTTTCTGGATTGTTACCTCTGGAATAGGAATACCTACCAACTCCCCCTTCACAGGCAGTATGATTTTGTCATATCTCTAAATCTCAACTTTCCTGTTTATAAATGAAGAAATGTTCAGTCAACTCATGCATTATCATAAGGAGTAATGAAGTTAAATGTGTAAATGCATATCTGACCTATTTACTCTTTTTTTTTAAAGATTTATTTATTTATTTATGTGTGTGGGTGTTCTGTCTTCCTTTACATCTTCATGACAGAAGAGGGCATCAGATCCCATTGTAAATGGTTCTGAGCCACCATGTGGTTGCTGGAAACTCTTAGTGACACAATTATTCAGAATACTGTTGGGCCTAGAAATAGAGGAAATACTGTCCTAATTATTTTTAACTTTTTAATAGTCATAACAATTGTAGATGCTTCTGTTTACCTATTTACACACTCAATAAATATTAAGTTGCTACTATTCATTTGATAATTGATTGCTAAGTCTTACACTTTAAGAATTGTATGCAGTTTGAGTAATTGATTATAATATTAAATTTTATTTTAGGTGAGATTTTAAAAAATTATATATTAGCTACTTTCTAGGTCTTTTTGAAGAAGAGTTATCTGTTAATTAACTATAGTTGTCATTAAATTTTTTTTCTTGAAAGTGTAACTTTAATGTTTAAAAATCTGATTCCCTTCATTCCTAAATGGTCAACTTCCTTAAATAAAACCAGCCTTTAGTATTTGAGCAGATTTTTTTTTTTAGTAATTGTGTTATTTCCTTGCCTCTTTTGTTGTCTTATAAGTTGTATCACTGAAGGATATCAAAGCATCCTCTATGTATGTATTAAGTACACTTACAATAGAGCTACATCTCTTATTACTAATATCCTTGTTTCTCTGTGGCTTTGCTTCCTGAATCCAAATAAGTGAAAGTTCATCTTAGCTTCGTTAATTTCATCAGGTCTAAAAACATAGAGGTAACAGGTTAAGTAACTCACAACAATGTGAGAGAGAGACCCTTGCTGATGCATGATTTATGTACAAACTGCATGAGAGCTGGAGGTGGCTTGGGAGAGGGAACTGACTCCCATAACTTGTCCTCTGACCTCCGCACTCATGTGTATGCATATGTACACACAGTAAACAAACAAACAAATAATAAAAACCTAAAAATTTCTTTGAAATGGTTAAAAAGTTATAGTTTGGCATTCGGTTTAAGCTTCTTAGAGGAAGAGTTTTGTACCTAGCTAAAGCAGTGAGGAGACACAGTGCAGCCTTTCACTCAGTTGTCTTGGAGTCAGGTACTCTTGTAGCTCTATCACCACAGTGCACTGAATGGTGAGATATTCAGAAATCCCTCAAATTTTGAGAGACATTATTGTAACATTTAATGTATATTATTGCTTTCCCTTATTTGGGGTTCAGTTTTTATTTTTATAGGATAATTGGGTTTATTGTATGTGTGTGGGGTTTTGCCTGCATGTATATCTGCTCACCATGCATTGTGTAGTGCCTGCAGAAGCCAAAGAGGGTGTGATATTCCCTGGGACTGGAGTTAAAGACAGTTCTGAACCTCCATGTAGTAGTCAATTGAACCTGAGTCCTCTGGAAGAGTAGCCTGTGCTCTTAATTTTTGAACATCTCTGCATTTCCAGATTAGTGGTTTTTCAAACAAAAGTCTATGATACAAAAGTAGAATTCAGATGGTGAATAGTACACTTAATGGCATCTTTAATTTTATTCTTAAAATACCAATCAATGCCAATGCTAAATTTCATAATTTCAATTATTATTGTTCATGTGAAAGATTCTCCTTTTTTAAAGAAACTTATCTGAAAATAGTTTATGGCAAAAGATAAAAATGCCTCCAACTTTCACAAGTGATTCAGAAAATGCACATATATGATAAATATACAGAGAGAATGATGAGACAAAATTGGGAGCATATAGACATCGGGTGAGACTAGGAAAGGGGTTTCAGAAACACCTTGTACTATTCTTGTACCTTATTATTACACTTGAAACTACATAAAAATACAAAGAAAATACTTCCACTTTTGCCAACTTAGATATTACTTTAGAAAAGATCATCTGCCGTATATTACCTACTACCATTCATTATTATTTAGTGTTAATCTTTGCCTGTTTGCAAGAATAATACAGAAGGAGAAAAGAAACTGAGTTAGAGGTTTTAGTTTCACCAAGAAGAATGAATCCCATGAGATTTAGGAGGAAAATAAAATGATTGTTATATTGGAAGGTAGCTCTCTTGTAGCACTTTAAAATTCTTTAATAAAAACGAAGATTATATAAAACATCTTATTTTGATATTTTATTAAAATGTAGGCCTCCACATGAAAACATCTATACAGGTTTCCATGTCATCATTGTTTGTAATATTGTAAGTGTAAACAGCCCAAATATACAGAGTAGGAAGTAATACTTGCAAAAGTATGGATGAACCCAAGTGTGAGAAAACAAGCACAGAGACATACTGTATGAAGTCCAGACTAGGCAAATTGAGAGAGACAAACTTAGTAATGCTAGGAGCCTAGGAGTCCAGGAAACTATAGAGTGGGTGACAGAGGTTCTTGTGGAGGCAGTAAAAATGTTCTGGAATTATGTAGTAGTGAGGGTTGTACAACTTTTTGATTGTTCTAAAAATACTTTAAGGCTGAGGGAGATAGTGCTAAATGTGGGTTTAGTGTAAGGCACTGGGTTCAATGCATAGCACCAAAACAAACAAAACCAACCCTCCCCCCACCAAACAAAACCAGAGTAACTTGAAAGGGATAATTGTGATGGTGTGTGAATTGTATTTCATGATAGCTCTCATAACAAAACAAAAATAGCCTTATGCATCCCATTAGCCCCCAATCTTCCCTTTAAGGTAAAGTGACAAAGACATTGATTGCAATTCTTCATGATGAAGTTTCCAGTTACTTCATCGACCTGACCACCCTTTCTCTTTCTCCTCTTCCCATCTAGTTCTTCCTGCTCCTGAGCTAACTGGTCCTTCCTTCTTCCGAGCCCCACCACTTTCACGCTGTAGTCACTTCTTGGTGTGGTTGATTACCTGCTTTAAAATGATACATCTCGGCTTCTTTTCTTCTTGTGCTATTTACTATCAAAAGTAGGATATACTTTAATCTTGCCCATTGTTTACTACTTCCCCATATACTCTAAGCCCTGGCGGGCTAGAGAATTTGACTGTCTTGTTTGCAGCTGTCTCTATGTCAGGGCTTAAAATAGTGCTTGGCTTATATTATCACTAATGTAGACTGAATCTAACCATGTAAGGACGGGCAGCGGTGAGGGAACATTATCTGAGGAGTAAGTTTTATTGCCTTTTATATTTAAGGATGGTTTATATATCAAGGACAAATTGGTGCTAAGTTATGACTTCTAGCAGGGAAAACCAGTGTGATGCTTCACATACTGACACAGTCTCTTATTCACTCAGTTTACAGAAAAGGTTTATAAAGCTGGATTGTTTTGCTGATATTATAACTCTACACTCTTCCTTGCTCAAATAAATAAGATATAATTTAAATAGGTTTTATTTTAACTAATGTCGGGGACTTTTGATTAGGAATATATGAGATTATTTAATATTATTATCTTTTACACAGAAATTATAATCTCATTTTCAATAATATATCTTTCAGTAGACATTCATGAAATCCATATGCTAGATATTAATTTTTTAATTGGAAGAGGTTTTGCTTTCTAAAGGCATGAGGTATAATGGAGAAAAACCATTATGTAAACAAGTAGTGTGCAGTAATAGGAGACTTACAGTGAAAATATGGATGCAAAATCTAGGAGGTGATGTTTTCAGCTGACTCTCAGTGGGTCAGTTTGATTTACAAGCGCGTGCACGCACGCGCGCGCGCGCGCACACACACACACACACACACACACACACACACAAGCAGGCATGCACGCACCCTTTCTTTCTTCCAAAGAAAGACAGAGCTATTGACTAGATGCCCAGAATTGCCCCCAAGTTCCGACCACCCGCTCGAATTCTTATGAAGTGGAGTTGTAATATCCTTAATGTTGCTGTTGGCAGTCTGTTACAGATTCCATTATTGTCGATCAATGCAGTCGCCATGTGAGGTGGGGGGAGGAAAGCAGGAGGAGAAGAAAAGGAGAGATGAGAGCTTCCTATTCACGGATTTATCAACCTGCCTTTGCTCACAGGAAATCCTCCTGAAGGGGGCTGGGATGCTGCTGAAACAGCTAAGGCAGGAAAGGCTAGGGAGCTGCAGTTCTGACTGAAAGGAAATTTGACAACCTTTCTCCCCAGAACAAAACAAAATGCTGAGTTTGTTCTTGCATCTTTGTTTTTGTTGATGGTGTGCTTTACCTAGCTGATTAGCTATTGTGCTGTCTGGTTATCGAAGCTGCTTCCAGTGTAGGACACCCCCGCCCCTTCCCTTTTTTTTCTTTGAGTGTCTATTCTTTATTTCCCCATGCTTTCTCCTGTCATTAAACACACATCATTATTCAATTTTATTCTGGCATTCTCTTTCAGGCTAAAACGTAACAAAAAGAGTCAGAGAGCAAATCTCTCTTTCCTCTCTCCTACCAGCCTCTTTTAACCCTCTCTATTCCGCTCAGCCTTCCACCCCCACTGTTGTGTTAGATTGATGCCACAGAGACAGAATTCAGAGTGGAAGGAGGATCACATTTTCTCTTCCATCCTTACAGCTTAGCCTGCAATTTAAATATTCAGCCCCAAGAATTTAGTGTCTGTGTCCCTCTCTTGCCGCTTCATCATTCAGTAATTGTACTCTGTATGGAAAAGTTTTCTGGCTGGAGGATGAGTCTCCTTTCCCCTGGTGATGTGGTGGAGTGGTTGGATAGTAGCACCGAAGAGGAGAAGAGCCTTCTGTCATTTCTGGGTAAGGTAGGGCTTTCTTGTTCTTGTAACCCTTTGTTGTCCAAACTTTTCGTGGTTTGGGGAATACCACCCCAAATTTTGTAAATCTGACTGTGTATTTTTTAAAAAGAAGGAAGGACTGAAAAAATGTGTTTAAGTTGTGTGTGTTTCAAGTTTTTTTTTCCTGTCTGTAGACATAGTGGGTAAGAAATAAGGGACAATTTGCTTTGCTTTAACAAAGAGTGCTAGCTCCATACAAAGCTCACCATGTCATCTGGCCAGTTGTTCATGGCATGTAGATAACTTCTAATAGCCAAAATATACTGTTAATTTACACTGCTCTCAGTACAGTAATAGCAAGGCTTGCTGAGGAAGAGTGAGGGAGATGCTTTGTGTTCGTGAAAAATCAAGAAGTAGCTTTTGTGCATAGTGTATTTGTAGTGATCATAAAGGATTTCTTTTGAGCATATGGAATTAGACATATAGACCAGAAATTATTTTAACTTTGTATTTAAAGATGCTTTTTAATAAATTTCTAAGTGCCAGTTACTGATCTTAAGAGTTGTAGATATAATAAATAACTAGGAAACTTAGGTTATAAATGCAACCATATCTTTACTGTAATAGAAAAGCTTCATGATACTATGTGATTACTTCTTTTTATTAATGATTGCCTTCAAATGCATTGTTTTTATTAATTTTATTTATCTCATATATTTGTGTTCATATTTGTATACCTTTATTTTAAACAAATGAAATCATTGCGGTCTTCTTATTAATTTCTTATGACTATTATCTGAAGCCTTATGAGTAGTCTTCTGCCAGTTCCAAAGATACCTCTACTACTATTTAAACATCTGTCATAGTTAGCATAAGTTTCCTTTGTTTTATTAATTCAGTTTGGTTTCCAACCTTAGCCTTCTATAGCTGATTCCTTTTTCCTGCAGTTGAGATATAAAGGGGTTATCCTAATCCAGTCTTTTCTAGTTCTATCATCAGGTAGATATTTTTATGTTAGTCCTACTCTTTGTTTGTCATGGCCTCATTCTGTTGAATAATTGTATAACTATAAAAAAATATATATACCTCCTAACTTTTGGTGTCTTTAGAGTCTTGTCTCATTCTATTTGTTTCCTACTCTCCAGCCCCATACATGCACATACATACAGGGAAACATAAATTCAGGGAAGTAAGTATGGATATCCTTCAGCAAAACCAACAAAGTGTACCCTACTGCATCATAGGAAATGAAGGCACAGTTTTCAACATTGTTTCCTTGCTGTTGAATACATTTATAAATTCTAATTATCAAGCCTAGAGTCTCAGTTGGTCACTTTCTCTCTTCTCCCTCCCTCCCTGTTCCTTTCTTCCACTCCCTCCCTCCTTCTTCTCCCCACTTTCCTTTGTCTTTATCTTACTATAACTAAAAAGAATTTGGTTAAATAAAGATGTGTAAATAATCATTTTAAAACAACATTACAGTAGTAACCTTGTCCACCCTAGCTCCTGTCCTCTGATTAAGGGAGTTGTTTTCTGTAATTCATGTTTGCCCACAAGTAGAGTTGATAAAGACGAGGATCGTAGAACTTACAAAATGCAAATCTGTGTACATCATCACACTGACTTCTGCATAGGCAATGTTCAATCTGTCTCTGTTTAATGAAAGGAATGTTTAGCATGTACATTTGGCTTGAATGCCAGAGAAAAGTTTAATTGCTGAGTGAGTAGACTACCATGAATCCCATGCTTTGCTCTGTAGCACTAAACCTTGGATATAAGGAAATTGGGGTGGGAGTTGGTTTGGTGGTTTAAGATAGGGACTCACTCTGTAGCCTGGTCTGGCTTGGAACTTTCTGTGTAGTTCAGGTTGGACTCTAATTAACAGAATCCTCCTTCAGTTTCCAAATGCAGGATTATAGGTATGAGGCACCACATGCAGTTAACAAATCTTATCTTGAGGATTAGAGCTCTTTCCTGACTGTAGATGGCAAGCATCTCCACCTGTGAGTAATAAAGAATTTACTGCACTCTTCAGAAGAACAGGAAGATAAGATTCTCAGGGTTAGCTTGTACTGAGTTGAGGTTTAAACAAAACCTTTGTCATGTGCTAACATGGTTGCCATTTATGAAAATATACTATGCCCAGTGAGGATGCCAAGAAAAAGAAATAAATAATTCAATCTGCTTTATGGTAATATAGGATGAAAGAAATGAAGATTTTTGTCTCAGAAAGCCTGTCAAACTATGATTTCTTGACCCTGGGGATTTCAAATCAAATTTCTGTCTCAAAAAGATTCAAGAGAAGTTCTTGGTGCTGGTTAAACTCTAGTACATCACTTCTAGACAGTAATGTTCGGGTATGCTTGTTAATTTGACATGCTACTGAATCGATGAAACTTCATAAAACTATGCCTGTTCATTATTTTTACTCAAAACATCCATGGTTTTCATTTCACCTGTCAGACAAAGTAAGATTCCTACTGTGAAACTTGGGCATTTCCCCGAGACATTCCACTGTGCATTTCAGTGGGACTTCAGAATCTCTCTGGGTACTAAACCCATTGACTCTCCATGTCTTACCATGTCCTACCACTGTTTAGGAAATAGTGTTTAAGACACTCTTAGGTGCTACATTTGAACACAAAGAAGTACAAGATAAAACTGCTGGAGAAGCATAGATTATGGCGAGGGAGAAAATATGAGCTTTGAACAAGTTAAATGAGAACAATGATAAATCAAGACAACTATGGAAGAAGAAGAAGAAGAAGAACAACAACAACAACAACAACAACAACTACCACCTAATTGTGAAATTATTTAGTCAGGTAAAAATTACTTTGGGCATTTGAAGAGAGGAGAACTCATTTCTCATTATAAATGCTGGACTGAGTGGATTTAATACAAATTTCAAAAGGATCAAATAGATATTTATTAATTAAACAGTGAGGTTTTTATTGTATAAAACTGTGGTGATATTATGTTCCCCAAAATACTGTGCACCCTAATAAACTAATCTGGGGTCAGATATTGGGGTGAATGCTGGAAGATCAGAGAAACAGAACAGCCACTAGATATAGAGGCCAGAAAATGGTGGCACACATGCCTTTAATCCTAGCATTCCAGAGGCAGAGATCCACCTGAATCTCTGTGAGTTCAAGGCCACACTGGAAACAGTCAGGCATGGTAACAAGAGCCTTTAATCCCAGGAAGTGATGACAGAAAGCAGAAAGGTATATAAGGCGTGAAGACCAGAAACTAGAAGCTTTTGGCTGGTTAAGCATTCAGGCTTTCGAGAAGCAGTTTAGCTGAGATCCATTTGGATAAGGACACAGAGGATCCAGTCTGAGGAAACAGGATCAACTGAGGAATTGTGAGGGGAGGAAGCTGTGGCTTGTTCTGCTTCTCTGCTCTTCCAGCATTGACCCCAGTACCTGGCTTCAGGTTTGTTTTCATTAATAAGAAATTTTAAGATTCGAGCTACATAAAACTGTGTCATACAAAATATTAAATTATTTTCAAGTCCAATGAGTAAACTGACTTGAAAGGCATGGGGTTTGTATAGAGAAGTAATAAAAGATAATGAAGAATACTTAGGGCTTACTGTAAAACTTTGCATGATAGGCTAATGAACAACTGAGTGACACTTTTATCCTGAAAGCTATTGGAAAGAATTAAAACTATATAAGAAAGAAAATGTACATTCAAAATATGTTTGTTCAGATAGGCTCTCATGTACCTTATGTTAACTTTAAACTCTTGATCTTTCTTCCATTCCCTCCCAAGTGATGGAATTGAATGTGTGTACTACCATGCCCAGTTCAAAATAAACTTTTAAGAAGACATAAATCTAAAACTAGTATTATTAAGGAAAAGACTAAAAGCAGTTAGGCCAGTTTGAATACTTTTACAGTAAACCAGGTATGAAATAAGAGTTTCTGTTCTCAGCCCTCTTTATTATAATTATTGTTTTGATTATTTATCATTAAAAGTAGATTATAAGAGGCTGAAAAGACTCAGCAGTTAAGAGCACAGCACTTGTTCTTGCAAAGAACTTGGGTTCCATTTCCAGCACTCATATGGTGGTTCACAACCATCTATAACTCCAGTCCCAGGGTATCTGATGCCCTTATCTGACCTCCATAGGTACCAGGTACACACATGATACACAGACATACATGCAGATAAAACACGTAAAATAAAATGAATAAGTCTAAAATCTAATATATTTGTAATTTACTTTTTAAAAAAGTAGATTACAGCCAGGCGGCAGTGGCCCACGCCTTTAATCCTAACACTCAGGAGGCAGAGCCAGGAGGATCTCTGTGATTTTGAGGCCAGCCTGGTCTACAGAGCAAGATCTAGGACAGGCACCAAAACTACACAGAGAAACCCTGTCTCAAAAAACAAACAAACAAAGATTACAAAAGCCCCTAGTAGGATTTTTAAAAGATATGTGTATATATGTACATATGCGCACACACACACACACACACACACACACACACACACACACACACACACCTACATTATAAGGGCAGAGGAAGTTTCAGGAATTGATTCTTTCCATTGGAGTGCTGGGATTACACATATGTTCCACTGCATCTGGCTTTTGGCTTTTTTTTTTAAGATGACTCTAGTTGTCAAACTCAGGTCATCAAGCTTACACAGTGAATGCCTTTACCTGCTCAACTATCTCACCTGCTTGTAAATGCCTGTAGAAAGACTGAATCACCTATCTTCCCATCAACTTGAAAATTCTTAAATGCAAGTAAATGTTTGCATATCTTGAATTAAAAATGGAGATTTAATGGTGGAGAGATGTTAAAAGATTATGTCAGCACAATTGATGGAAAATTAGAAGAATAAAATGAGTCAAAGACATTTTGAATTTGGAAGGATAATGGTACTGTTAACAGAAATCAAGTTGAGAAAGGAGCCAGTATTTAAGAGAAGATAATGAGTTCTATGTTGAGTTTGAGATGGGTAGTACAGATCTGGACAGGCATATATCTATCTGATAAT